TCCGTCCTCCGTCCCTCCCGTCCCTCCGTCCCTCCTCCCTCCATCCCTCCGTCCCTCCCTCGCTCCTCCCTCCCTCCCTCGACGTCACCTGAGCAGGCGTGGCGACGGCCGCCCCCAGGTCCAAGAGCCGGGATTGAATCTGAGACAGCGGCCGTTCCAAGCCACTCTTCGCACTAAAACCACAAAATACGTGCATAAAAACACTAAAAACCTCGTAGCGTGCATACGTTCGTAGGCCGTGCATGCAAGGGCGGCACGTCCACTCCCAGCCCTCACCCTCTCCTTCCTCCCCGTCCTCCCTCCCCACCTGGCATGCTCCTTGGCCACGCCAATGGCAGCGTTGAGCTCGTCCGTGGCGCCCAGAGCCTCAAAGGTCAGATCATTCTTAGGGCGTCGCTACCGTGGAGGGAAGGGAAGGAGGGAGCGAGGGAGAGAAGCGGCAATGGACAAATGGAAAGGAATTCTGCTTTCCTCGCTCCTCCAGAAAGGCGATGGTGGAAGTTAACCTCCCCTCCCAAGGCGTTGTGGGTAGGGAAAGGAGACCCCGCCCGCCACCCTTCGCCCGCGCCGGCCTGGCCCCTCTACTGCCCAACCCCGCGCAAAGGGCACCCTGCCCTCCCTCCCTCCCTCCCTACCTCCCTCCCTCCCTTTACCTCGCCATTGTAGAGGGACGAGGTCCCCTTGTCGCCGGTACGGGTGTAGATCCCACTCTTCTTCGTCTCTTTCCTCTCCCTTCCCTGCCCTCCCGACCCCGCCTTCCCGCTAAGCCCTCGCTGCCATTCCTGGAAAAGATGCAGTGAGGAAATATATGTGTGTGAGAGGGGGTATGGTGTGACAAAGCTACGTGAGGGTGCCTCGATAGCCTGAAATGCAAGACTGCAGCGTCGCTATACCGTAGGGACGCGTAAGCCAAGATGGACGTGGGAATCGTTGGAAAGCACGACCGGCTTGTCTATCGCAGTCACGCGAGATTTACACGCGAGTTCATGCCTCCGTCCAGAAAATATTAGTCGTCATATATTGTTGTCTCAATCTTCTGCACCTCACACATCAGCTATCATGCCCGCAAGACCGCTCAGCATCTCTCCTTCCTTCCCCTTCACTCCATCCTCCTCGCTTCCCCTGCAACCTCCTCCTGCCCTCTGAGATGTCTACTTTCTTTACCTGCCATCGACGCATGGACCAGAGGAAAGCCACCCCGCTTCCCACGAAAAGCTGGGCGCCCTGCAATTTCTGCAAGGTCCTCTCATTCCCCAATACATTGCTCCCGGCCGACGCTGCGAGGGCCAGGATGGAGGGAGCCATAGTCTTGAGAGATGCTGAAGGAGTTCGAGAGGACAATGACAGGCAAGTGGACCCTAAAATGAGCCGGTTTGTTCTAAAGCTGTTGTTAAGTACGACGCGAACTTGACTATTTGTTGTATGAGAAGGCACAAATCTCAACATTGCATTGTGCCTTCTACACTTGCCTAGTTGCGGAGAATGCCTGACAACAATATTGAACGAATGAATTGTAAATGTTGTGAGAGAGGGTGTAAGAGGCAGTATAAAGCAGAAACAGGATGGCTGGAGTTTAAACCATTTGGCATGGCAGTCCTGACAAAGGGGGACGGGAGGTCGCCCGCACCAAAACAGAGGCAAGGATCTCGAAATCCCCCCACAGTTTCCACCCACACACATTCCTCCAGGCCAAATCACGCGTCTTCCAACCAACGGCTTGTTTTCCATAATGTGGTGCTCGTCAGCTCCTCATTTCTGTGGTCGTAGAGTCAGCAAGACAGCCTCAAGCAGGTGCCATTGGACTCGTGCAGTAACGGCTCAGGCCTCCAAGGGCGGTAAATCACACCCCAACACGCACCTCAAAAGGGGGAATAACCCACAAAAAAGGGGACAGAAATTTGATGAGCCACATTAAAAGGCGCTGTTTTCTTTGAATGGCTGCGTGTAATTGTCAATTTTCTCGTGTCAGTGTTAGTGATTGCAATTTCTGGTGTAGGCTCCGGGAGGTTGCCTTAAAGTAGGGTGGTACGTGATCCTGCCACACACCTCGTCGAGAGTCACACCACAGTACGCTCTCCGAAGTGACAAGCAATATAGGGAGATAGTCAAAAATATTATTTGTACAAACAATGCTTTAGGCGACTCGCCCATGCGCTGGACTGAGTTTATCCTAATGGGTGTACGTACACCTGCTCTCTCCTCTGAAGCATCTAAGCACACTGTGTTTGATATTCATATCGCACGGGTAGAATCTCGCCATGGCCGCTCCTCTTCCTCCTAATACATTTCGTCTCTCTGCAGCTGCTTATCCACCGTCTGCTGTGCATGTTTCAACCGCGCCACCTTTACGTCCCGCCCGCTACACAAAGGTAGGTATTCACTCCGCCCACCGGGCGAAGACGGAGTGGCTGGCGTTACTCCGCTTTTCGAATACTTTTATTATTACCATTTATTGCGCAACCTTTTTTCAAAGCTCGTCTTCTCTTTTTTAACCTTTCACTATGGGGTTGACCTCCTGACGCCTGCCAGTGTAGGACACAACTTGGTTTTGAGGGTTTTGCGGATTTTAGCCACCTTCGAGAAGGCCCGCGTGGATGGAAGCACAACGAAGTAATGAAAATAAATCAAACTAACCGGGGAATAAGGTGTAAATGCAGCCGACTTCCACCTAACCCTGTTCTTTGTTTCTTGTTCCCCGCCTCCTTTCCTCGCTCCTTCAGAATTGCCGAGATAGTCGTCGGAGACGAGACCGGGGTGATCACTCTTCGAGCCCGGAACAGCCAGGTGGAGTTCTTCTTGAAAAAAGTACAGAAAGAAGAGGAAGAGGAGGAGAAGCCCTGTGTCATTGTCCTGCGCAATGCCGGCGTCTCCATGTACAAAGGACACATGCGTCTCATCGTCAACAAATGGGGCAAAATATCCAGGTCCCTGTCTCTCCTCCCGCCATTGATCCTACCTTCACCTCTCCTTCGCCTTGATCCAAATTACCACCTTCCTCTCCCCGGTTTCCTTTTTCTCATGTTTTTCCCCTCTCAACCGCTCTCCCCCACCTTAGCTACCCGGACGAGGTTGCGTCGACGCCTCCACCTCCTGCGGACGTCCTAGGCACCAATGACAAGTCCAGCGTAGAATACGAGCTTGTGGAACAGATGGCGGCAAAGGAAGGGGAGAAGCGAGGAAGAGGGGGAGGGAACAGAAGCGTAAGCAAGCTTGTACTTTTGAACGCCCATGCCTGGTAAGGAAGAGGAAAGGGTAGGAAACAGGAGAGGAAGAAGTGAGACGACGGAAATGGAACGGAATCGACAGACAGGCAAAGCAGGGAAAATGACAGCAAACGGAGAGAAAGGAAAGAAAAGAGGGGGAGGGTATTCTCAACCGAGATGATACAAGAGACACGATCTTTTTAATCAGCTTTGTCATCATCAGACTAGTACTATCAGGAGCTGTATCAGTGGAACAACTCGCTGCAAAAGTTACTTGACAGCAGATCAGCTTAATTGCAGGGTCATCAGAATCAACAGAAGACATTGATAGAGTCGTTAACATTTTCATTGTGTGTAAATCCATTTACTTGCTTTCCAAAGGTTGTAATCGTACAATCGCGCGGTTACGTTTAAGTCATATTACTCTCTTTGTATTCGTTTACCTTTGCTTTTTGCGCCGACCCTGGGCGTGCGTGGGATTTTGGTTGTTTCGACGAACCCCTACCCAGCACTACTTGCGAAACAAATTCATCGGAAGCTCGGTTTGTACATAACGCACTACCTTGATCCTTCTTAATTTCCCCTTTCCCCAACAAGCGGCAATTTGGCAATCACTTCCGAGCCTAGCCATTTCCTGGGCAGCCTTTATCTCACCGAAAAGAACCCCCCAGATAGTAGTGCTACACTGTAAACATACACCCACGTGCTCTTACATCATTGGTGGTGACTCACGCGCGAAAACTCGTAAATGACGACAGGCAGCACTGGAACCCTGCTTTCCTCGCCGCGTGCCAATCGAATCCCCTCTTTCCCCAACCCCTTTCTCCCTTTCATCTCTTGTCCCCACATGGCATGCCCGACCACGAGCATCCCCTCTCATGTCCTCCATTGATCCCTCTTTCGCCCTCTTAAACCTTCACTTTGGACACCCATACCTTCCGTGCTTCTGATGATCATGATCTCAACCTTGCGTCCCTCGGCGGCCATGACCCGCGCATTGCATTTTTTCCAACCTTCCCCTCCTTATTGGACCTCCGATCTCGTCCCAAGACATATTACTGTCCGGGCCATGCACAGGGACGAGTGTACGAGCAAAGCACAGTCGAACGAAGCCCTATGTACCCTTCCTCTCCGCTTCAACCTTGATCCAGCCCCCATCCCGCTTCCCAAACCGGTGACCTTCCACCCCGCCTTGACGTGCCCCGAATGTGTGCCTTACTAGACCGGCAAGATAAGCCGCCTGTCCACGCTGCCTGCTCAAAGCACCACTTCACTTGCCCCCACCCTTGCATGCACGACTGTATGATCCAATGTGCTCCCCATGCATGTGCTGACGCCAGATGCCTGGTTTTGCGCCCAACTCCTCCCCATCCTCCACGCGGGCGTGCTGCCTACAAAGCCGTCACCTCTACCATGGGCTCCGGCCCCACCGTCCCCCGGAAGGGAGGGACGGGGGAGGGAAGGGCTACGAAGGGCTGGCTCCTTCCTGGGTAAAGCCCGTTCCCGGCCGCTTTGTCGGGGCTTTCTGGGTACACCACGGAGGACATGGGCGTGATCGACGTCTGGGTAGAGAAGGAACAGAAGCGTAGGAGGGATCAACAACCGGTGTTAGGGTTAGGGTGCGTGTGCAAGGAGGGTGCGTGTGCACTTGTGAGCCCAATAAGAAAACCCGACAAAACACCGAAGAGTCCCAAAAACATTCATGAATCCCCCCACAATGCCCCAATCCGTCGGCATTATTCGACCCGTTTCTGCTTTCTAACCTTGGGGACAGAGGACGCAAACGTCGCCGCCGAAATCGAGGTAACCGCAGAGAGGTCCGAGATACTTTGATGCGCTTGGCCCAGCCCGGGCACACTCCCACGCCGTCGCTTCAGAGGACTCTCCTCCGACCCCGCCTGGCAGAGACTCGCCCCTTCCAGTTCTTGCCCTCTGCCCATCTCCTTCTCCCCTTCGTCTTCCGTCGTCCGGCTGCTGCTCGTGCTGCTCCCGCCGGCACTGCTCCTGCTCTCGTGGCTCCCCGTGCGGGTTCTTTTCGGAGGCGGCCCCGCCCCCTCCGTCTCCGCCTCTACCTCCGACGGTACCCGGACCGTGGGCAGATTCGTGTCTTGCAACTGTTGGAGGGCGGAAGCCACGAGTTTTTCTTCGTTTTTCTTGCGTTTTCCTCCGCCGCCCTCCCTCTCGCCCTCTTCTCCATTCCCGTCGCGTTGATCGCTGTATCCCCCGGAATAAGCGCTTCCCAGCCCTTCGCCCAAGCCCTCTCCCACTCCCTCTCTCCCTCCCCCCCCTCGACCTCGAGGAATTTGGGCGGGGAGGGGAACGGCGGCGCCGTGGGC